AGGGCCTTGTAAAGACATTGCCAGCTATTTTCTATACAACGTTCGATTAAAGAAGCTACTATTTAGCTTCTAATATTACTATCACATCAGGAAACGGTTTTGTAGCCAAGTCAAGCTGAACAATGAATTAGGTCCTAAGTAACATTGACAGATTCTCTTCATCGACTTTCTCTTTGCATCCTTACCGCCATGCTAAGACATTCGCAGCAGCCCAGTGGCAGACGCGTAGGCAACATGTTATACCGTGATAGCGGGCCCAAAACAGCAAAATAAACGATTTGAGCCCGGGACATATGCTGCCTACTGTCAAACGCTGCTGATGGTATTGGCCTTGTCACTGGCCTGATTCGCAGCTATTTCCAACACACAGATCGATGAAAGAAGCTATTAGCTAGCTTAATACGACAAACACGACAAAAAGCGGTTATGTACCTAAGTTATTACCGAAAGAGAAAGTCGATGAAACCGATCGGTCAATGTTACTTATGACCTAATGCAGGTTCATCATAAGTCATTCTCCCACCTTGTGTCTGTGCATATTGTTGGTTATTCATGTTTTTGAGTGAGGAAGGTGTTTCTGGTTGTTTCATTGTGTTGACCGAGCTGTCAAAACTACAACCGGAAAAAAAATATTTACTGGCAACCTTATTCTTAACCATAACATAACGCTGAAAATGACAGATCCCCCTACGATTCCTTTGCTGTTGTTTGTGTGCAGATTAGTCCTTGACACGGCCATTGTCCCTTGCGCTGCAAGAGGAAGACGAATGGGCACGTGCAGAGCGTAAAATTTTTGACTGCTTACGCTGAGTGTGAAAGCACGGCACAATTCAATCCATTGGCAAATCAAAGTTGGCACTCGTGGAGAATAGTGGAGAAAGTGATGATGGTTTCAAAATTTTCCACGTACCTCTACGAGTGCAATCTTAAAATGCTTTTATTTTAAAAATGGAGAATTTTATTTAAATCTGGTAAGTGCTACGTTAGTAGAAAACTGGAGGACTACTCAATAGATTTTTAGGTGTATACATAGATTTCAGCTTTTCTACAACTGTAGCAGCAACCAGATTTAAATAAAATGCTCCATTTGCAAAATAAAAGCATTTTAACATTGCACTCGTATACCTCCCAGTGGAAAATTTTGAAACCATCATCACTTTCATAGTTCTTCTATTCTCCACGAGTGCTAACTTTGATTTGCCAATTGCTCTGTGCAGACCGCTTGTACCAAACAGTAAAGGACGAGGAAATGAAAGAGCCAACAAAAACATCCAGTCACTCACGAACAGGCGACTCACACCGCTTGCCTTCGCTCACACAGCATGTAATTGAGTCATTTTTCCATAGAAAATGTACGCTCAGTCATTCAAAACAAGTATTGAGTACCATCACGGCAGAATAAACGTGCTGACTGAGCTACTGACTGAGTGCTCGGCTGTCAGTGACTCGTTCACCTCTCAATCATTCAGACTCTCACGAGGCAGTGAATGATGAGGCAGATGGCAGTTCATATTCATACGTAAATAACTCAATGAACCTGACTGTTTTGTGCACTGGGCACGTGCCACCCGGGAAGAAGGATCATGCAATGGGTGCAATTTGCAATCTATCGGTGGGGCCGTGATTGGACAGCTGCTGGTGAGAACCTACACTCATAAAATAAATCACATAACCAGTGGAAAATATCCATGTGAATCTCATGTAACTTTCATGTGATCGCATAATTGGAAATTGCACCACTAAATCACATGAGTTACGTGTCCAATAAAATATATATGATTTCTCATAGAGAATTTCTTATGCTATGTGATATTCAGATAAAAATCATTATTTTTGTTATTGGAAAAATACTATGTGCGTTCCTAATAGAAACTAAGTGAAAACTTTTTTCAGTGTAGGATTTACAATCAGAAACTGTTCGGTTGCGTTTGTCTTGGTTTTCTTGCAAGACATCTTTACTCTTTTTAGCATCTGTTGCTCCTGATGCTGACGCTTTCGTGGATCCCAACCGGTTTTGTATTTCATTTTCTTCGGATTGGAGGTTTTCAATCCAGATCCAGAACGTTTTTCGACGTTTTGTTTTTGCTCGAATTTTTATTTCAAAACAACTAAATAACTCTCGAATGTAAACATTATTTGCAGTGGTGCCAGAATTTATTAAAAAAATTGTGGGTGTTCGAAGTGTTCCGAAGCGTGTTTCTGTGGTGTTAGCACAATATGGCAGAGTGACTTACCCCCTTAATGCAATGTTCTGCTTGAAGTTATAAACGAAAGAGAAAGTCGATGAAGAGAATCGATTAATTTTACTTGGGACCTTATGGATTGTTCGGCTTGATTTGAGCATGGGTTTTATTTATCGTCACACGAACTACGGAATAAATGGAGCAATTTACGGACTGCAGAGAGCAGGGTTCTAACTGGCGGCCATGTTTTTGATACTAACACCCAAACCCTGACCCAAACGTCAAACAATTAAATACATAAATAAATAGGGAATATGGCTCTAATATTGGCCTATAGATCTAAGAATTGGGCCAAGCGATAAAAATCCTTTCGCCTTTTTTTATCCAGTTCGTTTATTTGGAAGGCTCAAGTCGAATCAGACTTCTCGATGAGATGAGACTTCTTGATACGGTGGGACAAGACAGATAAAAATATCCTGTTCTTCAGTTTTTTTTCAAGTAGAACAATGCGTCATCCGAAGAACACAAATGCATATTTTTAGCTGCTACTGAACAATTGTAAAATCAAATGCTTTCCTTCAAAATGTATGTATGGGCCTAACATTAAGGACAAGCTGGCCGATATTAGGGATATTAACCCTATGTGTAACCAACAATACTTTTCACAGATTTCAAATCCTTTATCGCCTTCCCGCATAAACGCGAACCATAAATTGACCTTACCTAAAATGGTTAGAAATTGTTTATAATCCCTGCTAAACTGTAACTGAAATGGTTATGGAACTTTACATGAACGTTTAATGATAAAGTTTCAACCTTATGTATTATGGTTTTTTGGAACTGGACCTTACAAATAATGGGTTGTTAAGAACCATTACCGTTCCAAATTCTTGTTTTCTCCATACATTTTCAGAAAGAGAACTATATTAGAACCTTTTAACTTATGGTTTGAGAACTTTAATGGTAATGGTTATGGTAGTCAGTAAGGTCCACGAATGGTTTTGTAACATCGATCAACTTTATGTGGAATATATCGCGAATTGGTTGCCTGTAATTTACTGATTACCAATTCACGATATATTCCACGTAAAGTTGAGCGATAATACAAAACCATTAATAGACCTTACTGACTACCATAACCATTACCATTAATGTTCTCAAATCATAAGTAAAAACGTTCTTATATAGTTCTCTTTCTGTGTATGTATTATTTGTAAGGTCCAGTACCAAAAAACCATAATACATAAGGTTGAAACTTTATCATTAAACGTTCATGTAAAGTTCCATAACCATTTCAGTTAAAGTTTAGCAGGGATTATAAACAATTTTTAACCATTTTAGGTAAGGTCAATTTATGGTTCGCGTTTATGCGGGTTTCTCTTTTGAGCCTGACATACTTAGAAGATCGTTAGGTTTTCTTTGATGTTTTCCCGAGGATTTCCGTTGAAACATCACTCAATTTTCTCAGAGTTAATGTCAAAATTTCTCACCATGAGATTCTCTCTGCACGGCTTATGAGATCAACCCAAATTTGAGTTCAGATAACTCATAATCGCAAAAAGTGCAGGAACTCAGCGTTGAGTCAATTTGCGTCATGTTTTCCTGTGGAAAACTTTCATAATCTTTGGAAAATGAAGAAAATTTATGAAAATTTATTCAGTCTATTAGTAGTATCAATGGACTGAGAGAATCCAATCTTTATTTTTCTCATATTCGTTTTTTTTACTGGAAAAACCTGGATTTTTTTTTAAATTATTTATTTTAGAAATTTTTAGCCGTAGGCTAGTTCATCTCTTAGGAAAAACCTGAAAAAACCTGAAGCAAATTTACTCATCGCTGAGTTCCTGCACTTTTTGACGATTCATGAGTAAACTGAACTCAAATTTGGGTCGATCTTTGGGAATTCTCTCCAGAAAACTCTTTTTTTTTCCTTTGGTTTGTTTTCCGTCGATCTTGTTTTCCGTGCTGAGCACCAATGCTACCGACGCCAGAGAGGCAGCTCCCACACCTGGACCCTACCTATCGACCCATCAACTTATGAACCGGGGACCAACGGCTTTACTTCCCTTCCGAAGGAAGGCGTGATCAGAGATGTTATGCCTCAGAACATCCCGGCGGCGCTGACTGGGATTGAACCCAGGCCTGTTGGGGTTAGAGTTAATCACACTTACCACTACACCACCAACGGCGCTTCCAGAAAACTCTTAGAATTCTTTCAACGATTCGCTTTCAATTCTCAATAATTCTCCCAGTTAATTGTCTCCATATTTTCCTTCAATACAGACTTGACACATTCCTTTACAATTTCCTTAGTACACCGTTCTCAGTAGTTGAATTCGATTATCGATCATTTGGGTCCAAGAATTTCCGACAGACCCGGCCAGATGGAGCACGGGAGATCGAGGAGATCCACCTGAAAGGGATTACTGGAGGAATTAATAACATTTTTTTACTAAACAGAAGTCTGTCAAAATGGTACCAACCATCAACAGGACGAGTGACTTCATATCCTTGATAGAGGATATAATCTCGATGTAATCTGGCATCTCTGGTACCTCTCGCAGATGGTGGTCATTACCGAAATTTGGCTAAAACCAGATACGAATTTCAGTGAACTATTATATGTTTAACAAAACTTCGGCAAATGTTCAGTTTACTTAACTGTTACGGCAATATATTTCACCGAGGACAGATTTTGATTTTAAGTGTGTAACCTAACATTGCAACATCTGCTTAACGGTTTGTGTAACGCAAATCGTTACTTGTGAATAAATAGCATTTTAGTAACACGATACTTCTTCTTTGTTTCCCTTCCAGAACCAACCATCGTCACCAACACCTTCACCATTTTTGTGTCGCCAAAGAAACTCCAGAAGTGGGAACGATGTCGAATCAGGTTGGTAACTCATATGTCAGCACAGATCGAGAATCAAGCTCAGTGTGTGCAAGCGTCTTTGTTGGTTAGATTTGGGTTTCCAAACTATGCACCTATATCTGGTTGGAGCCAGCAATGTCGTTTTTCTTCTTGTTTTTTTTTTAGATATTTATTGGAAGTTAGGACATAAATCCCTGATATTGCTTGGCCATCTGTTTTACGTGAAAATCTTTGTCATTTGTATCTATCATAGACAAACTTTATTAGAAGATAACATATCAACAATACTGGCAACTCTGTATACAAACGCCATTATAGATTTGGAGGGTGTTCCAACACTCCAACACTCCTTCAATTAGAGTAGGATTCATGCGATAAAAGCAAGAATGACAACTGTACCAAAACCGAATAGGGGAAATGGCTCTAATGTTGGCCAATGGATTTAAGATTGGGCCCAGCGCTAAAAATCTGCTATTTATCACTTTTATCTAGATGAACGCGTCATTGGGACGGTACTAATGGATATTATTGGTCGCTATTGAAAATTTAGACGATTGCTGAATTTATGTATAGGCCCAAATCAGGGGCATTTAGGCCGACATTACATCCATTTCTCCTACTTCATCATTTCTCAATAGTGATGGAGTTATACGACATGCACTAAATTAAGTACATTGGGTATACCACAATAGATCAAGTAACTGGTCGCAGTAGATTTATGCCCCGAACAGAGGAAAACAACATTTTTTTTTATAGTAAAGATGCCAACATCAAATGAATGCTCATTTTCATCATGCGCAGCGCTACTGCATTCGTCCCTTAAATTCTGGCAGAGCTGCACATGTTATCTTCTATTTTGTAAGAAATTTACTGATTTTTCAAGCGATCATTTAATCAAAGTATGTATAAATAACCAATTAAAAACCATTATTAAAGCATTATTGTGCCATACTCTGGTTGCAGATTCTGATTTACCTGACCAAAAATTGATTTTTATTAATTTATCCTCATTACTCATAATTTCCGTTCTCTTCCCTCCCTCAGGATCCCTATTGGACCAAGCCAATCAGACATCGTCCTCAGTTGACGTGGACGGCAACGGTCTGCCAAAGTTGACCGTCTGACAGCCGACGACCGGTCCTCAGCATTCAACTCGTACTTTCCCTCGTTCTTCTTCTCCATCCGCGTGTTATGGTTCACCAAACACCCCGTACTCTACCCATCAACATCAGCGTCCGTTGTCGTTTTCGTCGTCGTCGTCGTCCACGTCGTTGTCGTTTCTGAAGCAGAAAACCAACAACGCTAGCAGTAATTTGTGTAAGCATCCACTTTCGCCACTTGCAGGCTATGATGGGCGACGTATAATATTTAATCTAAGCTCTAGTAATCTTAATGTCGACGGTGGTGGTGGCAGCATCTGTGGCCGCGAGTCCGACCACGTGGGCCACCCGATCAGTGTCAGTAGTGCTAATGTTAGTGGTAATAGTAAGTTAAACCGAACGCCAAACAAACACGCCGCTATGCTGCTGGGGGGAACTTCGTCGCTGACTTCGTCCCTGGCATCGATCTGCTCACTGTCCGGGACGGACGGTGGCGGCGGCAGAGGAGGTGGAGATTGTTCCGCGAATCGGACCGGTGGCGCTAGTCTGTCCCGCGGACGGCACTACAGCTTACAGGCGGCATCCAGTAGCCTGCTGGAGAGCTACGTCAACGGGTCCGATTCGCCCCTGCGGAATCTGTACTGTCAGTGCAAGCACCATGCTGCGGAGTGAGACAAACACCTTTATACATACTGGTAGGGATTATTATAGTATTTTTTTTTGTCTGAGAACCAATTTGAACTAGACTCTTGAGTGCGATTTTACAGGAGCATGTAGATCGTTTATGCAAGATTGAGTTCTTATGTTGTATTTTTTTTTTGTTTCTTGAGAGCAAACAATTAAGGCTAGTTTGTTGGTAGATAACAAAGATTTTTATATGAGAAATAAACACAAAGTATTTTATGTCCTAGTACAATTGATACTGAAACTCTAAGAGAATACGTTGACGTGCAATCGTGTATGGTGTTTTGGTTTTATTTTTATGAGGAAAGAAATTGGTTACCTTTTGAATTGATCTTTTAGTTACATTGATATTTTTTTTTGTTCGTGATATGCAAACAAGAAGGTTTTAGTCTAATTTATACGAAGTTTTCTAAATATTATTATAATTATTTTGACATTGACAGAAGTGTGAACAAAGCTTAGTTTCGAAAACAGATAATCCACTAATTCTTCGGTAGCCACTAAACGACATATTGAACATAAAATTTTCCAAAGTTTAGGATTACCGCTAATCGCTAAATATTTTCGTTGCAGCTTTATTATCGAGATAGGATAGTTCATTTATTACGTACAGTAAACCCTATTAAAGGGGATCCATTGTTTGTACAAAGTATAAGAATGAGCTCATCAGGCGACAAGAACCTTGCTAAAAAAAAACAATTGTGTTATATTATCGTTATACCACTGTTTCGAATGATTTATTATTTAATTGTAGAGTGCACACCAATACATAACTTGAATACAAAATTTATATGGAGTGATATTCAATTTCAGGCATGAAACAGCAAGCTACTGGGTTTAAAGTTCCAGATTCTGATCCCGTAACGTTTCTTACAATACGACTTTAAATATCAATACGTTTTTCATTATTGATTTGACTTTGGGCTTAATCAAACAAATTCTACATTCTGCGACTCAGGAATACATGTGTTTTCAGTATTTCTATGTCAACATATGTTAATTCAAATTTAAATTAAATCATTGAACGTAGATCACCCATTATTACAATGTTCCAGCCCGTTTATTGTGAATATACAACATTTAATGTATTTAATTAATGCAGTACCATTTATAAAGAGTGAATATTAAACTAACAAATTCAGATCTTATGCTAAAGATAACAACACCAGTGCTTTATTCTCTATTCAAACGGGACACGGAACATTTTTGAAGAATTTTTTTCGAGACAGGGTAGAGCACTACTTCGTCGTAATCGCCCATTTCCATTCTATCGATCAGAAAAGATCAATAATATCAATGATTTCACCATGCACAAATCAATAATAGGTTTGTTCTGGTGCGTAAGTTCATTAGCTACAACATAAATCCGATTAGAGAGCATTATATGAATATTTAAGCTCATTGTTCTCAAAACAAAAGAAGCGCTCCAAGCGAATCCCCTTTTTCTACGTTTATCCGTAGGACGAAGAAAATCCAATGGCGTTTCAATGCGTTAGGACGGAATTGAAACTCGTAGAACGAATTTAGAATCAAGAAGCAGTATTAGATTTTGAACAATATCTCAACAATTTGTGACTCTTTATCAAATCCAACGGTACGTATGGAAAGGTGGATAAATTTAGAAGTCATCTTTGACAGAAATATTCCATTTTTGGTTAAAATTCGTTCAGAAAAGAGAGGTAAAGCACGGGTTGTTCTTAGTAAGACGGACATTAGATCAAAAACCCTACACAAGTAGCACCTGAGCAATCCAACGACTCTCTCCTACACGGTAAGAAAAAAGTAACCAAAATTGAGTTCCTTTCACTCATCACGTGGCTTCCGTGGGGCTAGGTAAAATTAAGTTGAAGAAGAAAACTCAATTTTGAGTAATCCTGATCATGAATCCACGTTGACCAAGTTGACAAAATAATAATAAAACGGAGCAGACTGGAACCGAACCATGGACGTTGAGATTACGGGGCCCGTGTGTTGACCACTAGTCTATCTACGCTTGTGTAAATGAAATGGTTAAAGGCGCATAAGAGCAACCTCAATGAAAATAAACTTATATTTGAGTTCATTTATTATTACTCAAAAGTTGAGTAAATTTTAACCAACGCCGCTTTTCTGATTTACTCAACGGCGGACCTCAAATGATAGAACCCAACGTTGAGTTTTTTAACTTAATTTTGAGTATTTTTTTCTTGTCGTGTACACAGAAATTCAAAACAACCCAAAATTAAGTTCTTTTCACTCATCTCCCATGTTCAGTACGATAAGCCAAATTTGGGTAAACCGGCTCAAAGTAGTTTGCATTTAAGCACGGCAAAAAAAATTACCCATCGCTAAGTTATTTTCAATTTTTTTCTACCCAAAATTAAGTTCAATTAACTCAAATTTGGGTATATCGCATATTACTCAATTTTGGCTTCTCGTACGGAACTAGACGGTTGAGTCGAATCTTTTGTTCTATTTTTGACAACAATAGCGAGAGGAAATGAAACGGGCAGAGGTCAAATAACTCAAATTTGAGTTTAAAAAACCCCAAGCGGTGGGTAGTTTTGTTTTTCTGTGTAGGTATAAAATATCTCTCTCCTTTGTCTCTTTCTACTTCCAAATATAAGGGACAGCGTTGCCAGAATGTGTTAAAGCTTATCGGTATCAAAGGTTTTAAAAAATCGGTATAATCGGTATTTACTATTTTAATTAATTTTATTTATTTGCCGTTTTTGAAAGCGAAAGTTTAAACTTTTGGACTATGATCGGAAAATTCCAGAAGAAAACTCCGGGAAATGTTTGAATGAGCTTCTGAAGGAAGCTGAAAACAACATCCAGATAAATAAGAAAGACGCTTTCTTGGAGGAAATTTGAGGAAGTTCTGACAAAAGTCGGAAAAACATCCGCGGAACTTCCAAGACATAAATTGAGGAACTTCTGGCAAAAATTTAAACCAGCTTTCAGAAAAAAAAAATCGGATTTCACATTCAAAGGAAGACAGAAAAGTTTCGGAAATCAGAAGTAAATTCCAGAAGTAGCCATTTCTAGGGGAAGCCAGAAGAAGCTTGGAAAAACCTTCCAATAGAAATAAAAAAAAAACAAGTGGGCAAAATTCCAGAACTAGACGAAAGAAATTTCTGGGAGAAGTTTAATTGAACTTCCTGGAGACGCTGGCAGAAACTTCCTAAAGTAGATTGGGAAAAAAATCAGGAGGAAGTCAGAAGCCAGAGCACTAACGGAACAGTCAAAAGAAACAAGGACATAATTCCGGAAGAAAGAGCTCTTGGGGGATGTTTTATATAATGAGTTTTTAATGAGCGAAAATTCACTAAATGGTCATAAAACATCCCTGAAGACCCCGCAATGCCCCTGAAGTTTTTGGAACATTCCTGATATGTAATTTTCCGTAAGTTATTTCCCTTAAGTTAATAGGGCTGTCTTGGAGTAATCTGATCATTTTTGAAATACTTGGAACTTCCCTGATTATAATGAGACTACCGGAATATCTCTAATCAACTTTGAAGGTCTCTAGACTTTCTTGAAGATTACGAAATTTCTTAAGGGCTCTCACAATTGTCTTTCTTTCTATTGTCACATCAGCATTGAAATTCTCTGATCTTTCCGATTTTTCTAATTTTTAAAAGTTATCAACACTGCTATTAATAAGCACGGAACTTCCCATAAAATGTTCTCACAATGTGCTAATGTTCATGTAACTTCCCTTAAGTTTCTTAAATTTGCATGAGCCTTTCGGAACATTGTTGAAGTTTTTTTTTAAATTGCCTGAATTTCTCGGAAGTCCTTTAAAATTTCAGCGATTTCATTGAAATTTATTGATCTGTCCTTATGTTCTCGGAGCTTCCTAAAATTCTCTCAATTCTCCTGAAACTGAACTGTCCTGAAAACCATTAAATTTTCCAGAAGTTCTTTGGACTTGTGAAGTATCCAAAATATTTATGATGTTTCCTTAAGTTCACTGGAGTTTCCTCGACCGGGTTTTAGAATTTTATTAGTTATTGAAACATTCTTTAATTTATCGAAACTTACTCAAAAGTCTGGATTTTTCTGAAGTTTTTTTGAACTTCTTAAAAGTGTGGATCCGCAATCAAAATCTGGAAGCATCCCTGAAGTTCCAGGAAAGTTGAAAAAACTGGTGGGAGAAGATGGAAGAATCATTCGAGCGAAGGCTGAAGAAGCTTCCAAGAGAAGTCGAATTAAGTTTCCGAGAGGAATCGAAAAATAATTTACGATGTAAGGTGGATGAAAATTCCAGGGGAAAGTTAGAAGAAGGAAGTTAAATAATGTATTAAAAGTATTTCCCGATTCCCCTGGAATTACCAGAAAGAGCCATCGACAGTTTATCGATTCATGGGTAGCCAAAAATGATGAGGAAATTGAAACATTAATCGACAGATTAATCCATAAGGCATTTTTGAGGATGATGTTTTTTAGAATTTTAAGGGCTCAAAAAATTGAGATATTCAAAAAGATACATGTCTCTCATAATAATTTTCTCCTAAATTCTGAGCGCGGGCAGGCAATATTCATTTTAAATATTTAAAAAAAATCGGTATAAATCGGTATAAAACCTCAAAAATCGGTATTCTGAGGAACCTTATCTGTATATCGGTATCTAGTTCGGAAATCGGTATAAATACCGATAAATCGGTATATCTGGCAACGCTGATAAGGGATGCGCTCCCGTATCTGACATTAGCACCAGTGTTTTTGCACCACTCTGAGTTTTTAGTCGATCCCTCTGGTTTAGAGTAGAATCTTTAGGTAGTTCTGTGGGAAATTTCATGACGATTGTAAAGAGGCCCATTTCTAATGAATATTCCAAATAAGTTCTGAAAATAATGTTAAAAGAGTTGTGATGATCCAAGAAAATTTTCAGCATATTGAATTCTTAGAAAATTTAAAAGATATGTTCAAATGAATTCTTAATAGAGTTACAAGGAAATCCAGCGATTAATACCAAGGGGATCGAATTCCAAAGGAATTCTGAGATGAGTTTTATGAGAATTTCGAGATTAATTCCACGAGCATCTCGGGAAAAATTTCTAGAAGTAATATTTCAGAAGAATTTTGAGGAGAGCTCCAGGATAATTATGAGCAGAATTGCAAAACACTTCTGTGGTGAACTGCATGGAAATTGTAAGGAGAATTCAGGCTAATTTTAAATAAAATTGTGAAAGAAAGCTTCAGTGGATTCTTTCGAAGTGAATCTTAGAACGATTTCATCGATTTTTTTTTTGAATTGTTTTGAAATGTTATAAAGAAATAGTCAAGGG